CCCAGGGAGGTGGTTGAGTCCCCATCCCTGGATGTGTTTAAGAATAGGGTGGATGATCTACTTGAGGATATGGTTTAATGGGGATTAGGGATGGTTGGACTCGATGATCTACAAGGTCTTTTCCAACCTGGAAATCTATGAATCTATGAATCTATGAATTTTAAATAATTGAAAATAAGATCAACAGTATCTGCAGCAAACTACAAAGAACCAGGTGATAGAAAACAACTACGTCAAACAAGAATGCACTACTGGTATATATAGAAGAGAAATTTTCCCCTCTCACTTCTTTCCCTCCAAAAATACATACCTGCTGAATGTGTCTACAAGCTCGTTTCTGAGGTTGGTACATAAGCCAAGTATACAGGACTGGATCAACATTAATTGCTAATCCTTGTACACTGGACAAGAGTACTGCACCTATACAGTGTAGAAAAGAAAAGAAAATGTAAGCTATCTGCTGAAGAATCTTCATATATGCACTCATTTTTCTTGCATACAAATCATCTTTGATGCAGACTTTTGTTTAGATTGGACATACATATATATACACATATATATAAATTCCAACCAAGAGTAATAATTAAAACATAAACTTCAATAACTTCTTGAAGCTGCCAGTGTTATGGACACACACACACACAAACGCAGAGAATTGCATTTTGATTTTGCTCATGATAATTTTTTGCCAAGAAAAATGCTGTTTTCACAATGTTGCACGTGTAACTGAATACACACAAAATCCTTCCTCAGATTCTTGGCCAATAACAACACTATGCAAGAAATGAATCAATGAGACCCTTGACAGAAAGAGAAGAACTTAATACATGATTCCTCCCTACGTCACTAAAGAAAAAAATTGCTCTAGAAGAGTAGACTTTTCTAAAAAGATGACAGGTCTACTTTAGGTTAGCATTCTGTCCAAAGCTGCTCCGGGCAAGCATTTTTAATGTAAATGTGGCCATGAATATCTTTTATAGTGGACTAGTTAGGTAAAATCAGGCTAATTTTCAAACTCTGCTAACGTTGGCAGATTCAGTACTGTAAGCTCTTAGGATTTTATCCTAAATTTCACAATATATCTTATTTTCTTTAAATCTCACTTTCGAAGTTCTGGGATTTCAAGATAGGACTACTATATTTTCATTCCTTAAAAGTAAACATCTAGTTTTCTTATGCTTGTGAAGAAAAACTTACATGGGAAACATTAAGGATCAAAGTAGGAGAAAAATTATTCTCAGTATCCAGAAACCTTAGCGTATGCTTCAAGTCAAGCTCACTAAAGCCAATTTCTGAAACACTATTTCTGTTAAACCTGCATTAAAAATCTGATGATGTATTAATTTAGTGAGGCTTTAGTTTCAATTGTACAGATAAAGTATCTACTGCAGCAGAAAATTACAAAGCTGTAAAATTTAGAAGTAAATGGATCAATATAATACAAAGGTATCAACTAAACTGAAAAAGTGTGGCAAGTAGTAATAGGTAGTTATCTTTTCACATAAGTTTTGCAATTTTACAACAAATAAATAAATTAAATAAATAAGGAAATAAATTCAAAACAGAAGTCCTGGTTACTGGAAGGTTCTAGCTCCAAGTTCTAGAGAACTACAGTAGTTCTATAGCTCAAAGAATCATAGTTCCTAAAGTAATATGTACTATGATACTTACTCTGTAGTATACAATACTATTATGGAGCAATTTGAATCTAATAATAAATTCTAATACATGCAGAAAGCTCGTCACACAATTTATCGTACTTTCCAAAAACGAGCAAAAACATATGCCCCAAACACGTAATACATAACCAAAATTGTAAAAAAAAAAAAAAAAAGTTCTGAGTTTATTGTATATAACAAAATTTTAAAAACAGTTGAATTCCAAGTGACAGAAGACCCACCAACCTGGGGCAACTCAAGCAAAGCCTGATGAGTGCAATGGGAAAACGGCAGTTAAGAAATACACCAAGATAAATCATCCGCCTAGCACAAGCTTGGAGTTGGAACACACACTATGAGGAACTCCTATACGCAGACTAGTCTATGTGATCTAATGGTTTTAAATGTCAGTAATAAACCTTAGAAATAAATCTGCAATTTAAGGCACAGCGGATGTCGAGTACAAAGTAAAGGGGTAACATGCAAGTAAGAGCAGCAGCGAATATGCCATGCGGCAGGATCTGGAAGAGACTAGAAAAGGGAAGCAGAAGGTAACAGAGGATTGATAAAATAAAAGCTAATGATTGTAGCATATACAACATAGTTGGATGACAAAATAAGAGAATCCTGCATCTTTAAGAGATACCATCTGTTGTCAGCAGTACTTAATGAAAGGTTTAATGTATATGTGATATGACAAGTGGGAGTCAGAGACCTCCCAAAGAGTGAGGAATAAAGTCAGCCTACAGGCAAAGTCAACAAAAAAACCCCACATTTATAACAGACTCCTGAAAAGAAAAAAAAAAGTGTTACTGTAGCACATGATGCTAGTTACTCAATTTAGTTTCTTGTTTACTGCAAAAAATTAGCTAAAACTAAGAAGTTCAATACAATTAAGTCATGTTTTGAACTGAAACTATCTTTCCACTTCATTGAAGTCATACTAGTACAATCCCATACAACTCTGAAGTAAGGTAGAACAGAGAGAAAAATAGTTTATTTTTCCAATTGTCTTTTGTTGTTGATAGCTTGTGTCTGGGAGAAAAAGAAAAAAACTAAAAAACTAGCACAAGTGGACAGATAAGCAAGTATATTATCTGCATTTCAATTTGACTGTCAGGTAACTTCGGCCTCCTACCAAGCCACTTCTGTGACACTGAATTACTGAAATTTACTGCCGTATTTGCTACTCAGCCGCTATATTTAAAGAGCAGTTTAATCATCTATGTAAAGTTGTTTCCCGTGTAACAGCTGTCTTCAAAAGAACTATGTAGTCAAAAAAAAGTTTCTCAGATTTCCCTCCTCCCCTCCAAAAAAAACCCTCTTTAACTTGTGTTTTCGTGCTAAGAAATAAGAATCCCCCCAGTTTTCAAGGAAGATTTCACTGATGTGAAGACCAAGCTGTAAGTTGGCAGGAGACTCCTTCTACATCTAAGAAAAAAAATTGCTATTTTGTCTCTGTCAAAATGTAATGCTCGCGTTTCCTGGATTTCATTAAGATTGTGGTGAACTTTCTTTTCTCCTCTCCCCTTTTCTCCTTTTAATTAAATTTACATTTCAGAAAACACAGACCTTAGTCCCACACCACACTAGGTTTCCTTTCCAGATCCCAGTTCTTGCCAGAGTTATCCATTACATCTATCTAGTAAACAATTTGAAAAATAAGAATTGAACCCAACACCATGTCATCTTTGAACGTTTGAGAATTTTCTCAAAGTCGTGGTGTCATTTGCCAGGTGCAGTTTGGGCAAATAACTTCTTTCCTTTCTGACTTTCAGCTCTCTCCTGAAGGAATGAACTAAGGGGAAGCTGCAGGCAGGCAGCGGAGGAGGATGAACAGGAGGCAGCAGAACACAGCTGCGCTTGGCATTCTCATCCTGCAGACGAGCTTCTTGAAAGCTTCCTTGGATGATGACAGCTGCAGCAACAGCACTCATCTTCCCAAGGGACTGGGGGTCCTGCAGAGGATAACCTGGGGCCTCCTGAGCTTGAGTTGCCTCTGTCGCCACCTCCTCTCACCTGGAGTGCTGAGCAAAGGCTGCTGGAGAAGCAGGAAGGAGAGAGGGCACTACCTTGGGGCTCTCAGCCCTACCCTCTCCTTCAAAAGGGAAATTTAAGCATATAATCAGCAGGACAAAAAGGGAATATGATGCACTTGTGGTGAGGCAGAAGAGGACACCTGGGGCATGCGGCTGCAGAGAAAAGAGACCAGAGGTAGAGGCAGGATGGGTGAAATGAGGCAGAGTCGAGCAGCAGAGTGATGGTGCTGAGGGATGCTCATCAGTGATGAAAGAAAGGGGCTTCAAATATCACAGAGACAAAAGAAAAGGATGATGGCAGCAGGAGAGTGAAAGAAGAATGCAGAAGTGAACAAGTGCTTTGGGAAGGAGAAAGGAGGTGGCAACACCTGGCAAAAATGGCTGTCTTTTCGGAGATGTAAGAACTTTGTGAAAGAGTAAACTTTGCATTACTGAGTCACTCCCAACACGTTAATGAAGAAAAATTTACTAGGAAGAGTAGACAATAATAGTTCAGTCATAAATTTACTTATTGAAACTCTATTTAACACAACAGCAATAATATACTATGAAGCACCAGACATTGCGAAGCAGTCTTGTTCTTTATATGCAAAAAAATGTATTTTATCTCTGCAACAATAAAGGATCACCATGGCAGAATTCTTTCTAAATTCTGGTCTGTGCATATGCAGTATCCAAACACCTCTATATTGCTATTTCCAGTAAAAACTTTCAGGAAAACTTTTTAGATACTCCCCTACAAAATGAACTGAAAAACCTTTACAGGAAACCAAAGGTTAAGTTATAGTTAATGTACACTTTCTACTGGGGAGGGATCACAAATAAGAAACAAAGGGAATGATCTACAATAAAAACTAATTCTGACAAGTTTTGTTTATTTTTAGTAGCTAAGTAACTAAAGAAAATAATACACCATCACGCTATATAAATTGCACCATGAATTATTTTAGCATTGAGCTCATGATTCCTAGATGTCTCAGGACATGTGAATGATAAGCAGGTGCTGATAGAGGTTGAGTTAGCATCCTTAATTTAGTATCCAATTATTTTAAAGAATAACAGAAAGGAGAAATAATATTTTTACTTATTATCTTACTGTTTTGAAGGGCATTTCCAAGTAAGGCATACTATAAAAAATGCAGATCTGCATATTACACTCAAATGAAGAGTTCTTTTTTATAAAAGTATATAGGTAATTAGTTCTTTCTGCTAGTTGACTCAGAACAGATGCATTGTAAATCACTAAATGTGGAAATATCTCTGTTTAATTTTAGCCTGGGAGTCAACTAAGGAAAAAAGAGTGCTCTTTACTACTGTGCTTACTGCCAAAATGGCTCACTTACCCACATTCCAAACAGGCTTTACCAATTAGCTATCCCATGGCACCACAGCCATTTTCAGTCACATCCCAAAGTTGAAGAATGAGAGCTGAATTAGGAGTTAAGAAATTGCAGTTGCACAGCACATAAACTAAACATGGAACCTTTTTTGTCCACTTTCGAGTATCACTGACAGGCCAATATGATTCTTGCAAACTAATCAGCTTATCTAAGAGAGAAGAGTCCCGCATTTCATCCTGAATTGCCAAATCAGACAAGGGAAACAGATATTTTGATCTACATCAAAATCTATATGATCGTGAAAAATTATTTTTGCATTACGCTAGCAACAATATGTTAATAAATTTTGTCTAATTACTGAAACATACGTCTGCATGTCTCCC